ATCGCAGCTCATACCCATTTTCCATTTCCCCATTTCCCATTTCCCTCTTTTCCCCCATTCCCCTTCTTGTTTTCGTTAGGATGGTTGGTTCGCGTTTTTGTGGTTCTCCAGAGGCTCCACATCGCTGTGACACGCTTCTCCAGGTGGCCCAGAATTTGGGGGTGGAATGGGGAGCGAGGCAGCGTAACCCCTTGGGGAGCTGCACTAAAACCCCAAATGAGATGCATGAATTCCGCTTCCGCGACAAGCACCTCATAAAAGTTTACATCAAATTATTTACAACATATTTCAAGGGAAATTAAGTGGAGGAGTTGCTGGGAATTAAATGTATTTCCAGAGGGTTAGAAATTAGAAATAAAATATAACAAGTTTTAAATTATAATATAGAGAATTTGTTTCAAGGGTTTCTATTTCAAGTCTTGGTTAAATGTAGTTAAAATAGTTTTAAAATAATTTGGTATATAAATATAGAAAATATAAAAGGGAGCCAACAATTTCCCCCTTTAAATCTTAATTTCTTTTAATTTTTAAATGCTTAAATAACTCCACTCCATTTATTTTTCATTCCCACACACCATATAACTTCAAATATCAATCGCATATTGTGATAAATATTTTCCAATTTGAGTAATTAACTTTTGGCTAACTTTAGTTAACCGCCAAATCAATCTTTAGTCTCTTGGCCAAGTTAATGAACCTCTGGCGGGTTTTTCCAATCTCGAATTTGATGCGTCGAGGAAGCCACACACATATTTGGCCAGGCTGAAAAATAATTTCATATCAATAAGGCAATGTTGTTTTCACCAGCCACAAAAATGCTTATCGAGAGCTGGAGATCGATGAGAGCTCAGGTTGTAAATATTTATGATTTTTTCAGCGATTTTTATAAGTGAAACGGGTTTTTCTTAGACTGAGGAGAAGGATGAGGGAGTAGCACCAGGAGGACGATGTGCGAAAATGTTTGTGGGAAGAAGTTTACCTTTGTTTTCTGAAATAATAAATCTGAAGAATGGTTTATTTTGTTAAGGCCTTTCTCCGCTTGTTGTTGTTGTTCTTATGTAAACGAATCCCTTTTTGTTATTTTTTTTTTTTTTTATTTTCCTAAGAGTTACCCTCACGAGAACGTTTAGGCCGGTGGCTTGGGCAAACACTTGAACTGGTTGCGATTGTTTACCTAAAATCGTTGCAGTTGGTCAAACACGTGTTTGAGATAATTTAATTAAATTTACTTGCCCAGCCACGTGCCACTCCAAGCCACTTGAGCACTTGCTGGTTTTAGTTTTTTAAATCGCACTTTAAACTGTGGCAAGTGCAGCATTTAGCTTTGGTTTTGAGGGTTGAGAGAGTGTGGAAATTCCCGGGAATTGATAAACTTTGGTGGTCTCTCGCTGGCTGACAATGCAACTGGAGGAGATGGATCTCTGGCATCTGTCACAGGGTCCATGGAGAATAGGAAATAGAAACTAGGGAATTCCCCTGAAAAACTCCACAATGATCATGATGATGATGATGATGACTCGTGGAAATCAAGAGAGATTTTCTTTTCAAACTGTAACCAAATATGATTTATTTTCACGGTGTGTTAGCCCAGGGCTCTCCCTCTCATTAGGCTACGGGACTCCGGGTAATTTGCATAAGTGTCCTGGCAAAGGACTACGACGACGACGACGACGAGGCACTCGAGAGGGGAAACTAATTAAAATGTTCGCGCCTCAAATTTCCTTCGCTCGCCTTTATTTATGACCCTGTGACTGGGAATGTCTTGCATATGGACAGAGTTTGAGTCTGGCAGTTGCTATATGTATATTCCTGCATTTTGCTTTCTTATTTTCCCTTCCTTTATTTTATTTTTTATTTTTTGTTTACGAGTGACAAATGGGACATTTACATGCGAGTCTTGCTTTTGGGGCGTCTCTATGAATATTAAAATTATTCATGGTCCTTTGAAGATGGCGTTAGGGATGCAGGATGCGAGAGGGAAGGAAAGGATTCAACAGAGGAAATCGGTGAGAGAAAACAGGATATTTGAATGGTGGAAATAGGAATTTAAAACCAATATAAGGGCACTTGAAAACGACGATTTATTTTTAAGATCAGTCAATGATTTTTTTTGATTTGAATTGGGGTTTATATTTTTTATAATATTTCAAGATTTTTACCTAAATTTGAAACTACTTTTTATAGAAACAATTAACTTGAAATTTCTCTATAATATTTCCTCACCCTTAACTCTCCTTTGTGGTTCCAAGTCAATCCCCTGACTAATTGACGTCCAATTGTAATTGTGGTGATGAGAGTGTCCTGCGAGTCCTGCCACTAATCCCTCAAGTTGCCACAACTTGAGGGGTAGAAATAAAACCAGAAGGAAGAGCAAATTATTTAGAAATCGGACTACAAGTGAAAGTCCAGTGCCATGTAAATGCAATTGTAAACAATTTGAAACCAATTCCGGCGGCAGCAACAACAAACAAGGGGTTAAGGGTGGCGATGGCGATGGCGAGCTGCTGTGGGGTTAAGGGGTCCAGTTCCCGTGACAGCTGTCGCGGCCCAAGAAACTCCGCCGAGAATTAGGCGTGATAAAAGGGGTTAATCGAACATTTTTGGATCAAGGGAAAGGGAATGCTCCTCACCTTTTCGGCCCAAGGATGAAAGAATAAATAAATAAAATACATTTCCTTCGGGATATTTTGGTTAATTAGCGATGTCTGGGGACATCTTCTGTTTGCTCTTTTTCGCCTCTGATTTAAACATAAAATAAAATGTTTGTGCCTGCCGCCGCCGCTCTGGGGAAATGCTTCCCGAGAAGTTTCTCAAAAATAGAACAACAAGTGGGAGTTGGGGTAAGGAAAATTCCGGAGCTAACGGAGTTTCTTTGGCCAGTTTTTAGGGCCACGTCAGAAGTTAATGAGATTACCACGCCCCTCAAATTAATTCAGGGAAAAGTCAAACAAACTCTTGGGTCGCCGTTCATTCAATTGGTCACAGCCAGAAACCGCAAATGCGGAAAATGCAAATTGTTTTTCATCCGAACCCCGAGCACCGTCTCTCTCTCTCTCTCTGTGAACCTCAACCTGAAAACCGAAAAACCAAAAGCCGGGAAGCAGCCCATCCCCTGACCTTTTCACTTTTTGTTCTCCTAACGAGGCGTGAAAATTTTGTGGGCGGTTTCGGTAACTAATCCGTGAGGGACAGAGAGGGGGTAAAAGGAAAAATAGAAAAATCTTAGGTACTCCACAAAGTGTTTGACAACTTCTTTTACTTTTCAGGATCATAATGTGCGAAAGTCAGAAGGGTTAAACCTGAAAATGATGACTAATCAACTTTGTGCACACACAACAAATGTGGCAACAAAGGGGTTAAGGGTTCAGGATGTGGCAAAAATTAATAGTACAAATTTATTATAGAATTTATAAATATTTATAACATCTTGCAAAACATCTTTTTCAGTTTCAAAACGATTTTATTTAACTAAAAAGGTTTGAGAATTTATTTTAACTTTTTTTTGAAATTTTTAAAACCAAAATTGAGCTAAAACCCTTTATGTATAGACTATAAATATCAATTACAAATTTATTAAAGAAATAACAATAATTTTATATAAAATTTCCTAGAGTATTAAGAAACAAGGTTTCAAAATTTACCAAATAAAGCGGAGATATATATTTTTTAAATACCCCTTAAAAAGGTCACCAGAAATATTATTTTTTAAATTTTAAATATTTTTATTCCCAAAAAATATAACAAATAATTATAGTTTCGCTTAATCCCACTCATTCCGTTTACCTATACACGGGACTGCTTGCACTGCTTAGCCATTTCGAAGAGAATTTGAAAAAACCGGCTCGGCGCTCTCTTGATGCCCTGGTTCACCGTTAACTGACCAATCGGGTGGCGGCAACCGCAACCTTTCCTTTGTGGTCTCGCCAGGGAGTTTGGTTTTGCGTTTAGCGCTTTTTGCATGTGCAGGCGTTGACACTTGGTCTCCCAGCTGGGGGCCAAAAGCAGCCTGAGACTGAGACTGAGCCTGGGAATAGAGCTTCGAGCTGAGATCCTGGGCCAACAGCACGCCCCCTCGACTCGGGAACGTACATACGTTCCATTGCAGCGTTCCTAGGGGCCCTTGCGCCTGCTTGTCGTCGTCGGTGGTGGTTTTTTTTTTGGTGACAGTTTTGGCTCTCCACGGGAAGAAGTGCAACGGTAATTTTGTGTTTTCCAAGTTAAATAAATTAATAAATTATAGTAGTAAATATTACAAAAGTAACTTAAAGGATCTTGTATTAAAATAAATTAATTTAATTCAAAAATAAATATAAAATAATATATTAAACGAACGGTCACAATCCAATTGGAATTAGGGAGGCCATAATTTCCCTAGATATCCAGAAGGATTTTTTTTGAACTCAAGATCCTCTTCCTTTTCGAGGCTTCTTTTTTGTTATTTTATTTATTATTTTATTTATTTCACAGGTAAACTGGACGACTATGCCTACTGGGGGAATAACTCTGGCCATGTCTCAACCTTCTGGGTGATGTGGAATGAGACGAAAAATGGAAAGCCACGCCTTGCGCATTGCTGCCACCACGGGATTGGTTGCCATCACACTTGGCCAGCAGCTGCCACTGCCACCCCCTGCGTGCTGCTGCGCCGCCGTCGCCTCTGCCACCCTCTCTGCTCTCCTGTGGCGCAGGCGTTTCGTTTCCATTTTCAAAACTCTCGTTGGTCGTTTGTCGCCTGCCGCTGCTGCTGCGCTGCTTGGTGCTTGGCTGCTGCTGCTGCGCTGCTTCTTGCGATTTGAAAGCAGCATCGCTGGCGAGGATTCAGTTGGGGTTTAACAGCCACTCGGGACGGTAGCGCGCCGCTCAAAAATTTTCCGATTCCGAAAATCCCAAATTCTCTGCGGTGCATTGGTAACACACACACACCCACAAACGCATACACATACGTTCGCGATAAGTGAAATAAAGAAAGAGTGAGAAAGAGAGAGTGTGCTCCATTGATTGCCATTCCTCCAGAGACTCAAAGAACACCAAAACCCAAACCAAAACCAAAAATTCCCGGACAAGACCAGGAAACCGATCAAAACGGCAGCCACAATTTCCAGCAGCGCAGGATTAGGAGCAGCAGCCGGCGCCGAAGTCGCTTCGTACGCTGATCTCCACCAGCATTCGCAGCATTATCCCAGCTCCCATCCGCATCCGCATCCACACCCGCATTCGCATCCCTTCGCCGACGGCTTCAAGCTGCGTTCCGAGGAGCCGGTGCCGGGCTTTAGCTCGGCCTCCCCCTGGCCCACCCTGGAGCTGGGCATGGAATGGGGCCGGAAGCTCTATCCGAGCGCCGTCTCCGGCCCCAGGTCCGCCGGCGGTTTGATGTTCGGCCTGCCACCTACAGCCGCCGATATGAATCAGCCGCGGGGTCCAATGACGTCCCTCAAGGAGGAGCCCCTGGGCAGCCGGTGGGCCATGCAGCCAGTCGTTGATCAGAGCAAGTAAGTGCGGGTGGTGAGGCCACTGCCAAATGTGACTCCTTGTGACCTAAAGTGACTGCAAGACAAGTGATCTTTCAAGTGAACAAAGTAAAAAGCAAGACTATAAGTACAGAAAACCAGAAATTTGGAAATTCCAAAAGAAAACTCTGCCCTAAAGTGAACCAATAAGGTGATCTGCCGTGTTCAAGTGTGAGAAAATATTATAAAAAAAATATTTAGGAGAAAATAACTCTATTAGTGAATATATGGAAATATAGAATGGTATTTTGGTGGCTTGATAATATGCTAAAATGAAGAGAATTCTATAAGAAACAGAGAATATAGTCAAGAACCTATCTGAAAGAGTCTAATTATTAATTATCATTTATAATTAGAGACTTCCAGAAAATGTTCTTGACTTAAATTAGTTTATTAGCATTTTTAGTATTTATAAATTTAATTTAAATGATGAATAGGCAAGTTTTTTAAATCAAAATAGAGATTTCGAGCTTCTTAGAATCACAGTCTTGGCTCTCTTTTGGAACCAATAAAATTTGTAGAAATTATAAATAATTTTTTTTATAAAGGAATAGTCCCAGTTATTGATTTAAATAGTTCTATAAAGTGCTAAATAATTATTATAATTAAAATTCACTCATATAAAGTGAATAAATATTTTCCCATTCCCCTTGACGCCCAAGTCCCATCAACATAACACACACCTGAAAAGCTCAACAAAGGCTCAACACAAATTCCCCTATAGGGGATAAGTAAATACTTGCCAAGATAAAAGCAAATCCCCATTCTTTGGGGCCTAATTAACACCCACCATTGACATCGTGACTCATAGAAGGCTCAATGAAATGCTCCTTAATCCCTGCTAATCTCTCCATTAATCACCTTGGCCAATCTCCAAGGGAAGTCCCAAAATCCAGCAACAATGTTGCGGCAACACACAAGCAAGCAAGCAAAAGGAAGTCTCCAAAAAGGAAATACCCTGATGTGGGGGTAAAAGTGCGTTTGTTTACTTTTGGCCAACAAAAAGCCAAAAGCCGGCATCGTGTCCAACGATATATAAAGTCTCCTGGGGGAGCGATTTCGAAACGTAGTAAGTCAGTCAGTCAGCCGGGATGCGCGGGGGTTCGTTTTGATGGCGTCCAACCCCGGAAAGCACCCGCTTCCATCTCTGCCATAGCCAGGATGAACCCCAAAACAAAGTCCATTCAGATCCCAGACTCACTCGAAAAAGCCACTCAAAGTGCGTGGTTCACGCACTTTTCTTTCGACTTTTGATGCGGGGATAAAGGCAATGGATGCCGCCTTTGAGCTCAAAGGGATGCCTCCAAGAATGGCGCTCTCTTTTCCGGAGGGTTGCTTGGGAAAAGCTTTCGCTTTCCTTTTGCTTTTCCCATGTTTGTTTAGTTGCGTTTGAGATGTTTCTGGCGTGAGATGTTCGCGCCGAGAAGAAGTGCGCGAGTTGCCCAAACGGAAAGCGAAAGCGAAATGACAGCGGGCTTTGTCCATTCAGCGGCGGCAAATCATCATCAGCACCCACACCCACACCCGCATCCGAATTCGCACCACCATTTGGGTGACCATAACCAGCATCAGAGACAGGACAATCTTAATCAGGATCACAATCAGAACTTAGGCACTAAGACAATGCGCTGTGAAACGAGGTAAAAAAAAAAAGTGGGGGAAATCTAAGAGTGTTAAGAATTTTGGTTAATAAACTAGAGAAGTTTGTTTAAGAGATTTGTTAGTAAAAGTTGAAATTAATAATATAAATTATACTCAAGTGCGGAACTTTAAAAAATATATATAGAATTTGAGAAAGGTAAATGAATTAGTTAAATTCTTAAATTAACTTTAAAAATCTTTCTTTCTTCAGAAATATTCTTTACAAAAGTTAGAAGTGTAAAGTGATTTGAAAATATCTAAAATATTATTAGAAAATATCTAAAATATTAGCAGAATATTTCTAAAATACATTTTTTAAAAGGTTAGTCTGTCAAAAGTCCAAAGGAGTGTTTTAAAATATTACTTTTTTATAATGACCAAAAGTTCTTACTTTTCATACTATTTCTATAAACAAATTTGAATTGAAAAATACAATTTAGCCTAGCCAGTTTATAATGCATCCAAATTATTAACTTTTTCTTAATGCAAATCTAAAATCTCTATAATTTAATAATTTTAATTAAGATTTCAGACACTCAAAACTACATCTTTCTCATTATCCCCCTGCAATATCTTTTTGTTTATTTATAAACAACAAAAGCCTTAAAAATTTTCACAAACTCAATTAATAATCCCTTACTTACCCCATAAATCCCCTGTGAGACTTAACCCCTTCCTCTTTCTCTCTTCCTAATTCAAAACTTTGGCAATTACTATTTGAAAATTCCAAAAAATTCACATTTTTCCTTCTCGTGTGAATGGAAGTTTTGCGACAAATAAATCTCCTCCATTGCCGATAATTGTTCAATATGTTTTGTGGCCCAGCCATTTATTTAAACACTTATCTGTACATCTAACTGGAACAGCCACAATGTGTTGCACTGTAAAACAAAGTGCATAAAGCACACAACACAACACAACACACACAATTGTGTTGTGTTTCTTGTCGCCGCTCATAAATCAAGGGAATATTCGAAAATTTATTTCAACAAAGATTGCCCACGAAACGAGCTCTCTCAAAGTACAAGTACAAGTTGGTCGTAAAGTGTCCTTAAACAATGGACAGCAAACAGAGCCCAGCCAGTATATGGCCGGAAATAAAGTTGCCTTTTTAAAGGACTCTCCAGGACTCCACTCCTCCATGTGTGGAAAGCAGCTTTTCACGTGCAGAAATAGACAAAACGTGACCACGAATCGAGGCTCATCCTCCTCATCCCTCGCCTTTTCCCGGTTGGCCACCTGGGCATCGATTTGCGACAATTAAATGTTGGCATAATAAAATCAACAGCAAAACGGCCACAAAAATGTTCTCCACGTTCTTTTTTTTCCCCATGTTAGCTGCTCCTCTCTCGCAAATTGGCGGCAAGTGCAAACAAAGTGAGCTGGCAAACTGCCGCCAAACGATTTTCCATCCGGTCGAGTTGAAAAGTCAACAAAAAAAGAAGAAAGAAAGCGATCCGGGGAAAATCGAGGGGGGTGCTTAGGTGGGCGGAGGAGTGTTCAGTTCAGGCAAGTTTTTTATTTGCCAGGATGTACTCGGCATTATTTTGCTGCTCACTTTCCGAACACACTCTACCGCTCCACCATAACAATAACCTTTCACCAGAATGTAACATGTCTGGCATTTATATGTCGGAAAGCTCCACCATCCTCCTCCCATTATCATCCTCCGCACTTGTACCTCCGTTTGGCAGTGGAAATCGCATTCAACCGCCGCTTTTCCCCCACCTCGAAAAGCTGACTGTCCTCTTAATTTGATATCGGCTTGTGGGTGAATCAACTTTAGCACCGCGAAATGTCTTTTATTTCGCTGGGAAACTCGTATATTCTAAATCATTCGGTGTCTGTCAAAAGGCATTATAATCTAAAGGAAGAGATTAAACGAAATTGTTTTATACGAAATTAAGTGGCTTCGTGACTTTTTGGTAACTTAATTTAATTTTTTTTAATTTTTAAAATAAGATTTTAGCTTTTGAAACAATTTTGGAAGAATTTTCTTATTAAAATCAATTAAATAAAATTTTTAAATCGTAATTTAAGGTGTCTAAAACTTTTTCTAATTTAGAAAAATGCTTTTTATAGATACTTATCCTTTCAACTTCTTAATTATTTACATTACCTTCTTAACTATACATTTTGTACTGCTTCTAAAAATATAATTCCCTAGAAAGTCAACCCCTATTTAAGACTTAATTACCATTTCAGCTCAATTGTTGTTCCGCGAATCAGTTAGAGGCAACCATCAAAGTTGCAATCAAAATTATTGAAAACAGCAAAGCTAAAGGCAAAGCCAAAGCTAAATCCAAACAGAAAAACGCTGATAAAATTGCCCTACGAGTCCATTGGGGATATCCAACTACTTATTTAATAACTAGGACGCATATATTCCCTCGAATTCGATTGCACAACTCGTTTGGAGAAGGGGGAGAGTCGCCTGTCATTAGCTGATGGCTGGCATTATCCTTTGGCAAATGTGTATATAATTGCAGGACCCCCGAGCCAGTGGGCCAGGACATGCTCCTTGACATTGCCTAGGCAAACAGGCGAAGCACAAACACTCATAAATAGTGCAGGAAATGCGAGTAACGCAAATACAAAACAAAAAATCTGATAAAATCAGCATTTTCTAAATTAAATTGTTCGTTATGCAGCAAGGGAGAGAGAAGAGGGAGGTGAGCCAAGGTGCAGGACCCTACCTTAGTCCTGCTGCTCGACATTGTCCGGTAATTGTCCGCTGACAGGGCCAAAAGGATGGGGTCAGTCCGACATTTAGCATATGGCCAGGACAAGGACAAGCCTTTATTCCGCCGTCTGCGGCTCAGTGTCCACGTGTCCTAAGGATAATTGCCATCACTGTGTGTGTGTGTGTGTGTCTGTTCACTGGCCCACATATATATATATATAACAAGCGCATATAAAATATTTCAAGTGTAGGCGGGGAAGGGACTGTCATACATCAGGATTATTGTGTCACGTTGAAGTTGCTTATGCGCTTTTAATGATAGTTGTCACTGTGTGTAGTCCTTGCTGCTGCTGCTTGAATGTCACTCTCCACCGTAATTGAGTTGTCCCTAATTCCGGCCACTAAACCGGAGTATCTCTCGCCTTCCTCCAGACCCAATTAGAGCCTCTTTAGGCCTGCTCTATGTTTACCCAGCTAATGGCATAATTACCATTGTCATCCTCCCGCTATATATTGTACTAATTTCTGTACTGGTTTTTCTCCCTTTTCCCATTGCAGTCTGGGCATTGGCCGCGCCCACTTTGAGAAGCAGCCGCCCAGTAATTTGCGCAAGTCGAACTTCTTCCACTTTGTGATCGCCTTGTATGATCGGGCTGGACAACCCATCGAGATCGAGCGCACAGCCTTCATTGGGTTCATTGAGAAGGACTCGGAGTCGGATGCCACCAAGACGAACAATGGCATCCAGTACAGGCTGCAGTTGCTGTACGCCAATGGTGAGTGGGGAAGGGCTTTGAATTAAATATTTAAATATTATATTTATGGTTGTTTTTTGGTATTTATAGGAGCCCGCCAGGAGCAGGATATATTCGTGCGACTCATCGATTCGGTGACCAAACAGGTGAGTCAAGGAATACATATAGATATAGCGATTTGATAAATATATAGATATATAGATTTCATTTCCCCATAGCATTTCCCACTTAAGTAAATGAAAAAGGACTTCCTTCCTGTCGCTTAAAATTCAATAGGAAAAGTTAACCGGTCTATGAAAAACTAATTCCTTCCACTTGGCCGCTTTTCCGTGCATTTTCCCGATGTTTGTTTTGCTGATTCGAGCATAAGTTGCATTCGAAATTGATTGTCACGGCTAATTAAGTGTGTCCTGGTGTGTCCTTTGGCCAATAAATTGAGTCGTCAGGCGCTTAGTTTGTTCGCACGACTTCCCCCCAAAAGCCAGAAATGTGGAAAAGTGGCAAAGGGGTGTGACCGGAGCTAACGAGAGAAGCGAGAAAAGCAAGAGAATTTAGAGAATCGCACGGGGATCGAACATTGTTAATGCGCTTTGTTGTGGGTGCGTGCAAGTCCTGTGGCGATGGCGAGTCCTTCAATATCCTCACAGTGCACCATATGTCCACTTTTGTGGGCCTAATGCCCGTCCGCCTCCCGGCCTTTTTGCCTCTTTTTCCCTTTCAAGGGCAATTAATTTCTCGAGTGACAAATTTTTATAGACGTCGGCTGGCCTCGGTGTGTGTCTTTTGCCATTAACCCCCTCGTTGGCTTCGATTTCGATTTCTCTCTATTTCTCCAATGCCTCTCCGACTTTTTGTGGGCGTTTCTTGCCCATTTAGCCCGTTCGTTCGGAATCAGAAACGAGCTCACAATAAATTTATCCACAAATTATCGACAGCAGCCTATCCCCTTTCTCCCTATGAGAAATCCATTTGTGCGCAATGCAATTTAATCGCAAAAATATTTCCCCCTTTTTGCCTTCAATTCAATTTGACAAAAAAAGAATGAAATATAGATATAATACAAATAAAACAAAGAAATTTAAGAGTTTTCCCAAAAAGTTTGAAAACTTCTTATGTTTTTGATAAAATATCGTCTTGACGTCACCCTGATGTTTTAAATAAAGCTTATCATATTGTAAAGAGCCATTAAAATTTATATTTAATTAAATTATAAAAAGCCTTATTGCTCTTTAAGGAAAACTTTTAGTTTCCGGGTTACTAAAGGTTCCCTGAAGACTTATTAAGAATCTTACAATTTTTTTCTTCTGATTATTTTGTGATTTATGAGCGGCAAATATTTCTTGTTATTAATTCATAAGAATAAATCCCCAGAAATACATGGAATTTTTAATAATTGTAGAGTAGGTTTTGTGAATTGCTAACATTTAAATACAAAATGACAGCCTGAAATTTCTTTATCTTTAATTCTTATAAATAATTTATGGATTTTTTGATAACAGTTTTTATGCTGAATTTAGTTACTTTAAAAATAGGCATTATTTCCTCAATTTACTTTTAATAGTGACATCATTATTATAATAAAAAAATGTTTTTTTAAATGCCTATTGCCAGTTTTAAATTAAACTTGAATAACTTAAATAGAAAAACTAGTACTGGTAAAATAGTTATAATTCAAAAGAGAACACAACCTTCACTCCTCCGACTTCCCCTTGTATTGCCCACTTCCGCTTGACTTGTGATGTGTTTTTGAAGGACCTACCCCTAAGTCCAGGGGAAACACTCACATGAGACTCCCAGTGGAAAGTGTCGCAAGCTGGGAAAAGAACAATCATTTGATCGGATTAGGTGGGTTTGGCTTCCGCTTTATTTTTTGTAGCTGTTGTTTTTTTGAATTTTACATTTCGTTTGTCGCGTGTCGCCTTTGTTATCGGATTGCGTAACAGGTAAGGCGGGGATAAGCGGGTGTTATCTCAGGGGGTGGGAGGTCAGAAGGAAGGTTGTATTTTATTTATGGAGCAGCCCGAAACTGTGGCAGGACGAATAAGATTACCAGGGAATCGGTATAGGCGGAAGCAATCGTAAAAGCAGGACGCGCAGGCAGGACAATTGTCAACTGTCATCCACGTGGCCACATCCTTCCTTCGCCCAGCTTCAACCCTTGCAACCCCTTTTTCTGTGGGCCGTTTGGGCAGGCAAATGCAGCAAATCATGGTCATAATCATAATTACATTCGATCAGATAACGGCGAATTACAGTTCGAACGGGAGGCAGCGGCTCTACGGCGGCGCAACTGCAATTTGAGCTAACGATGGAACCACGGAAAATCGCCTCATTTCGGCGATCATATTTCATTTTCATCATCAGAGGACACGGGTCCAGCATAAAACAATAGGAAAATCCTTTTTCCCCCCACTTTTCTCTGTGTTTTGTTGCCAAAATTGTCCTTATCGCGATTTACACGCACATAAAAGCGCAGCGAAATTCTAAACTCGAAAAAGTGAGAGATGTTGATAGTGGTGATAAAGAGAGAGGAGAGCGGAGAGCGAGACAGCCAGCGATTAATGCACTGAGATAAGTGTGATAGACGCATGCCGGGTTTGAAAAAGAAATCGCTTATCAATATTCAGTATAAAGAGGAACAAGAGAAGCTATTGATAAATTTTAAAAATACATTTTATTGTATACAATTTATTTATAAAATTTATCACTAGCTTTTCTTGTTCCCTTTTATTATTCAAAAATTAAATATATTTTTTGAGAAAATTAAACTTAAAATCTATAAAAATAATAACATTTTAAACGTTATACTAACGGTTAAAGAAGCGCTTCATTAAATGACTTGTAGCCATCCCTCTCTCTCTCACACTTGTCTGCGCGTGTTAATTAAGCGATAAAATTAATTTGTATGTCAACACTTAAAAAGCCGAGAAGCGAGAGAATCATTTTCGATTATTAACAAATTGTGCATGCTCGCTTAATGGCAAAGTGTTATTATTGCTGTTTGTTGTTGTTGTTGTTGTTGGCGTCGCCGCTCAATAAATTCAACAGATTGCGCGAAATCTCCACATTTGCATCTCTCCCATGCATGTGTGTGGTGTGTATGTGTGTGTGTGAAGAGAGTGTGGAGCCATTTGCCTGCCGCCATGTCTGTCTACCTCGCTCTCACTCTCTCTCTGTTGGCAGGCTCCCCCCAATCTACCCTTCTCTTTCACTCGCAATGCGATTAAAAATGCTTTCACGGCAAGTGCATTTCTGCGGTCGAAACAGAGATGGGAGAGAGGGAGCGAGGGAGATAAACAGAGGTAGAGAGGTGACCAAAAGCAGGCGTGAAAAAAATTATGTATGAAATCTGGCATATCGGCCTCATTATGCGAAATGTGTAATGCATGCGGCGGATGTCCTTTGAAATCCTTGCGGCTCCCATAGGGGATTTCGAGGTTTTCTGCAAAGGTGTGCCAGATGCACCCTGTAGATGAACGGAAATTGGGGAAAGCAGTGCGGAAATGGGTAAAGCAGGGTATTGTGTGCCTAGAGTTATCGATAAGCAAACACATTTAAATATAAATTAATTGCATTATAATAGCTCTTTTATAGCATTACTTTGTATTGTTTAAATTTAAAGTAATCAAAAAATCAAGATATAAAATAATTTCTTTTAAGTTGCATAATAAATATGCAAAAATTCAAAAAATTAAGCATATTTGCTTCCTTTGCTTTAAGTAACATTTCAACATAATGTGACATTCTTATCCTGCGCCCCTAAAAATATGCAAATGCCTGAAAAGGGACCAAAAAGGGACCCCTTAGCAAAGGTGCAAACATATACGAAATACATATAGCGAGGATGCACAAGGTCCTTGCAGCCACGTTAACCTTTATGTCGCTTTCCCTTCTTTTTTTCCGTGGGCAATTTATGCGTTGCCCTGATAAATGAAGCTTTAATAAATTAAGAGCTACCCTCTCTATAGGTTCCCCTTTTTTTATTTAGTTTATTTTTGTTTTATTGTTTGGCCTTTCACAAACATTTTTTCGCAGTCGCTGTGGCCCTTTTGTGCGGGATAATTTATCTTGTTTGGCGAGATTTTTATTTGGCACGTTAAATATGCAGCATGCAGCATGCAACATGCAACATGAAGCATGCAACTCTCGGCATTCAAGTGCGTGAATAATGCAGCAAGTGTCGATTCATTTTATTCCAAAAGCGATAATAACAATTTGCAAAAATACTGTAAAAAAAATCGCTGGCTCTTCGCCGAAGTTTGATGGAAAATCGTTTAAAATTTAAAAGCCGCCTCGGCTCATCCTGTTTGGACCCGCTTTTCCCTCATCCTCGGCCTGCCTGTCCTGTCATCACTTCATCACTCGCTTTTTTCAGCTCATTTTTTTGCTCGTCCTGTTGGGTTGTCCTGTTTCAGCTCCAACTCCTGCGAGCTCCTGTTCTTTGTCCTGTTGATAAATCGTAGTTTAAACGCTTTTACTCCAGTTTTAGTGGCTTTCGTTTAGTTTGCCTGCTGTTTTTTTATTAGAAGAGCCATTTAGCCTCGGATTTCCAGCCACCAACTCTTGACTCCTGGCATCCTCCTCTCAACTCCTGACTTTTGGCCACAAAAACGGTTGGCTAGAGATACAAACTAATTGTTTGTTTCTGCATCCCTCAGCCAGCAAGGATGATGGATGATGATTTCTGATGTTTTGACCCTCTTTAGGTTAAGAGATCCTTTTGTAGTTGGGGTTTTAGTTGGTTTTTATTTATATTTGCTTTGTGAGACAAGTTTAGCTGAGTTTAAGTGGGGCTTATTATTTATGTAGCTGTTTTTTAAATGCTAATTGGCTTGCTCTTATATCCTTTTATTCTATATTTTTCGTAAACTAAATAAAACTCACTCCAAATTCCAAAATAAACAGGTGACAAATACAAGTTGTCCTGCAAAAAAACTTTATGTCCTCTGCCAACACAAAAAAACATTGAAAATCCATTACCTCGGAAGGGGATAAAAAGGACTTGCCATCCTTGTCCCGTGTCCTTGTCCGGCCTATAATTAGCTGCACTCCGTCCGGGACAAGTTCCAGCCGTAATGCCCAGGATATCCCACAAACATATTGGACACTGAGCCGGGGCTATCGAGCTAGCTGAGTCTCTGAGTCGGATCCTTTACAGGTTACGGCTTGGGGGGGAATTATTAACCTGACAAACGGGATAATAAGGGATGATCATAATTTTACATGTGCCCAGCTAATGCCAAAGACAACGGGTGGTCTGGGCTGTTATATATACATGTCAGAGGGGTAGGATTCTAGAGGACTGATGCTGCTGCTGCTGCTGGTTGCATTAAAATTAATTTCTGATTATCTATCTGGTTGGGCACAGCTTCTGAAAAAAGGAAATGCACATATGTATGGAGGAACCACTCGTCCTTGACGTCCTTGCTGCTGGTTTTATTTTTTTGTTTTTACTTTTTGGTGGATGAACCCGAACCTGGCTCAGGTTTGCTGCCTCCTCACTCGGTTATTGTTATTACTTTTGCGTGTATCTCCTGCCGTCAGTTGATGAATGATCCTCTCACCCCCCAAAGTCCTGGGTGTCCTTCGCATATGCCGTGTTTTTCGCCAAACTAATTCGCCGGATGAGTGTTGGATTACGGTTAACAGGGGAAAGAACACACAGCAGCAAGCAGGAGGGAGGGCAGGACACCCGCTTTAATCATTTTTAAATTAGAGAACTATAGGCCTTTTTGTGCTTTGCCCAGCCAGCCACCCCCCTAGGCAACCATTTGTTTATCTATTTTCCTCGAGAGTTTGGCAAGTTCGAGAGGTTTTGTTGCCCCGAAATTGCAGCAGATTGTCTAACGCTGCACTTGCGGTCGCCGTAGCTTCCACATGGCACGATTTCCAGCCCGCCACACGCCTCACTTCACTTCCACCGCACCAAATAAACAAACACTGTTCGTTCGAGTGGCGTTTTCACTGAGCAAACACACACACCACACACAAAAATATAAATACAAATTCAAATACTAGATAGTATACAGAACAGTACGCCCCTCGAATATTATTCATGCGGAGGTAAAAATTGTGGACACTGTCAATATTTGCACTGGGTCCCATATGTCGATTTGCTGGAGGACCGAGTTTTCGTTGTCCTGTAATTAGCATTTATGTGTGTTTGTCTTTGGGCCAAAAATGATATAGTTGATACAGAGGGGAAGGGTGGAGAGGTCAAAGGTAAGGGAGATGACGGGGGTTTAAGGCGGGTGTCAATGGCAGTGGGTTAATAGCGGGGTCAGGTTGGGGGTTCTATGGCAGGTGAATAAATCAATAGGGAAGGGGAAATAATAGGATTTGCTAGGGAGTTATTAAGGGTATTTTCTTTAAAACATTTAGATTCAGTTAAAGTTTAAAGAACTCCTCTTTATAAATATATTTTTCGACCAGTAAATACTTAAGTCCCTTTCATTAACGCTCTAATTTATATATATTTTTTTATATACAATTCTCTAAATCCTTATACCCCTTTTATGATCTCTTTCAGGCCATCATATACGAGGGTCAGGACAAGAATCCGGAGATGTGTCGCGTGCTTCTCACGCACGAGGTGATGTGCAGGTGAGAGCTTAGTCCTTTATGTCCTTATCAATAATATTCCTACACTTTTATTACCCTTTCTCGCTGCCTGTAAAACAATCCACACCTTTCTCTAACTGATTTGCGAATCAAAATCTCACAAGTCTCGCGGGCATTCGGCGGGAGACAGTTCCCAGGAGAAGCTTCCTTTAAGTTTTTCCTTCTTTTTTCCTCTCCCTTCCTTTTCATAGCCACTCAAATTATAGAGACCTGAGTTCTCATTTGCTTTTGTTTTTTGTCGGGGGCCGTTTTTCCGTGATTTTCCCTGAGTTTTCTTGCGCTTTAATTTTGTTGATTTTTAAGCTCCGTCCGGCTTTTGCCAGAGAGTGTCCTTCGTTTTATTTTCACGCTCAAACGCACGCGAGCTGAAACGTATAAATGGTTGACTGCCAGCCTCCCCAGGACACCCCCGCAGGACACTTGGGCTGCCTTCTACTGCTGTTCACCCTTCTAACAGCTTTCTGACAGTTGAAGGTTGCGTAGAAAATAAAAACGGCGCAACAAAAAAAAAAACAGCCAAGAGAACAACAACAACGAAAAAATTACACAGCTTTAGCCGGCGCCAACCCCCCTTTCAAGGACCTGCTCCTGTTGTTGTTGCTGTTGCTGGCCGGCCATCTTTTATTATTTCGGATTGGCACCCAGTTTTTATGTTTGCGTAGCATTATCAAAAACAAGGGGACAACGCACACACGTATACTCTGTGCGGGGGTTGCAGCCTCCCCCCTGAAAGGACGAGTCCTTGCTAGAGAGAGAGAGAGGGATAGAGAAAGCTAGCAGGGTGGCGTCTTCTTTATCGCTTTGGCTTTGGCTTTGCGCCCATTTCAGTCATCCATGTTTATGTTATACGGCCGAAAGCCGGGTCCAAGCCAAAAATACCACCCCCAGGATGACCCTCAGCGCCAGTCAGCCTCCCTCTCTCCCCCCTGCCTGTATTTATTTATTTTCTTTTTTTTTTAGAGCCAGCCCCGGGGCTGTGCAGTCGTGGAATTACGCAGCCATTGAACTCGATATAGATATATGTTGCTCGTATATAGATGCAGATAACGGATAAGTGCGGCGATGTCGGCGGAGGAGCAATGACAAATGTCTGACCCCCAAAAAATAGAAGCACTTCTATCATACTTTTTCAAGAGGCTATTAAATGTTTAAATTTAAGGCCTTGAGGGCTTCAAAGAGTTAAAAAGTTAACTATTTAAGATCATAGTAGAAGCTTTAAAAATGGAGCTTTAGTTGGAGATAGTTTTTTGGAAAAGAGTTTTATTTTGTAGGTTAAACTATTCAAATAAAGGAGATAGGCAGAGGAATCTGTAAAATGTAATAACTTAAAATAATAATAATTTTTAAAAGCAGAAAAGAATTTATTAAGATACTCATATAAAAAGGGTTTATTTTGTTTCCTTAAAAAACATTATTCATATAAAAAATAACTACTGTTTAATAACTATTTTCTGTTCTCACAATAATATAGCTTTTTTAATATTTTTCTACCCAGATAAAAGCTTATACTTCAGAGTATTCTGTCTTAGAAAGCCCTTACCCTTGCTGAAGCATAAAGTATACGCACCGTTGTCCCTTGAAAGGCAACTCTTTAAAAGCAAACAAAACTAAAATAATTTCTATAAATTTGTATTCGTTTTTATATTTATTTATGTCTTATAACTTTTACTAACTATAATTTTACCTTTAAAAAATATAATAAAAATCCTTATTTATTTCAGCCGCTGCTGTGATAAGAAGAGCTGTGGTAATCGCAACGAGACGCCATCGGACCCCGTCATTATTGATCGGTAAGTAGTCATAGTTCATTCTCCCCTCCATAACCATGACCATACCCAGACCCCTGTCCAGGACCCCCATCCTGTTGCTCTTTCACACACACAAAAGATGACATTTTAAGCTGCTTTTCATCATCGTGGCTGGCTTTTTATTTTTGCCAGCCAGCCTCTGCTCTGCTCTGCGGCTTGTGTATGCGTATCGTTGATTTATTGGCATTATTATCAACTGCAATATAAAACACGATGCGGCAGACATGCAAAGAGCACCTCGAATGAAATATCCGGGGGGAAAGGGCAGTCCTTTCAGGATCTGAAACTGAAACAGAAGCTTGTGCTGCTGCTGCAGCTGGGAGAGTCAACAAAAATTCATCAAAATGGCAAAGGCAAATTCTATTTTCATAAATTGTAAATTGAGACGAGTTCGCGGCAATCCGACACCTCCTCCCCCCTCGACGCAGGACGCTCTTGTCTCTCAAGCGAAGCCACCCCAAGGACTGTCGCGTGTCAGGCGAATTATGTTAATTGTATGCACATCCTTGTGGCTGCCACGCCTCCCCCGTCCTTCTTATTCCGGCGTGTGTCCTCTCTAATTGGCTTCGGAAATATTATTTTGAGTGAAGGAAATTAGACAGAAACCAAAAATGCAAAACAAATTGTTATTGCGGTCTGGGAAATCCTTTGAGACGAAATGTAAGGCAAAGCTCTAGGAAGTTATGACTTTTAGGAGCAATTTTTAGGTGCCTTACAAGCCCTTTAGGGGCTTTTTATTCTTAGAGTTTCTAGGGAAAAACCTCAAAAGTAGTTGTGAGGCCAAAATAATTGACTGTCCTGCTTGAAATACCCTTCAAAATTATATATTTTTTATAGAAAATAAAATAAGTAATGGAAAGCCCAATAATTCCCTTTCAAGACCAACCTTTAATTATTTAATTTCACTCCTTAAAGACATCCAATTCTGGTATAATTACTCAACCATCAGCTTCAACTCCATTGGCTTCTTCAACGAAATAAAAGAAATAGGCCCCCATTGATTTCTATTTAGTGAAGCAAACCTTTCTTGGACATCGCCACCAAACTCATTGAGTTGTTAAACAATTTTCCAGTCCCCAGACCCCATTAAATTGAAGCACACCTTATGCAGATGATAATCATCTCCCGCTGTGTGATTCCCCGTAAAAGCGTGCAGATCGCGGACCTCCGGCGAAGGGTGTCCCCGAGTATTTGCCTATCGCCATACCAGGACTGCCATTTCTAGGATTGCCCACAAAGGTGTGTTCCGCGAAACTCCAAGATCTTCAGAGTCTACGTAATGATTCTATTATTAAAGTGGCCAGCAAAAGTGTGTCTGCAGCCGGTTACCAGTTACCTGACGACAATCAGCCCATAATTGGTGTCATAATTAAATTTAATTGATTGCCTCTGATGGCTGCTCCTGCCCCTGCTCTCCCACCTGGCCACCTTCTACTCCTTTGTGTCGCTAAGCTTGCAAATTAGGAATTGAAAAAACCCAAGTGGTTCTTGCCACACAGATTGGGAGATTGTTGAAAACACGATCTCGGCAAGATCACAGGTCCATGCGTTGCACATTTATGATCTTGTTAAAATTGCTTTGCGTGTTGCTGTTGCTCTAGAATGGCCCCGAATGCCACTGTCATCCGTTGGAATAACAGTTACAATCGGGAGAATATCTTAGATCGCAGAGCATCTCCTTCTGGTCATCTCTTTTTCTGCTCCACGTGCCCAGGCGCGACACTTTGCGCTTGATATTTACGATTATTAATTCATTTCTCCTCTATTTATTTGCCTTGTTAGCCGGTTGGGCAAGTCTTCAACTCGAGAGCTATAGTTAATCCCATTTAGAGATGGCAACGTGAGGTTTATAGAAGGTATTGAAGGGTTTAGTGTGAACTTTCTAATACATTTTTAAACAATATTTTATATACTTTTTTAAAAGAAATCAAAAGGTTACTGATTGTTATTATATTTAATTATTTTCTCATAGAAACAGTGCTCTTTTCTTGGCGTTAAATATCTCTAAGCCTTAATTGACTGAATCTAACACTTACTGGGCTCCTTGTAGTACCTCTCAGGTATTTCTATTAAGCTATCGTGACACGCTCACACCTGTGATCCCCTCCAGTTCCCCCTACCACATGTCGCATTTGTCAGTCGGGCTGTAACTTTTGTCGGCATCGCATTCCTCGAGGAGGAGCGAAGCCTCGACCAGCGGGCGCATATCAATCACTGGCTAAAAACACTCCCAGCTACCAGCTACCATCTCCAATCAGCTTAAAAGGCGGCATGGATCAGTCGAATGGAGTGGCATCCAGCCAAGCCAGGGAGTCAGGCAACCCACTCCGCCGCCGCCCGCTCATTGATATGCCAGTAGATCATGCCGCCGCCGGCGGAAAGACAAAGACCCCGGGATAATCTATCTGTTCGCAACTAAATTTTGCCATCCAATCGATCGCGGGAGGGAGGGAAATCAAGCTAAAGCGCTAACTTGCCCGGGGGTCCAACGCATTTTGCCACTCAGTGTTGACCATTCTCTCCTCGGGATCTCCTCTGGATCACCTCCTTCGCCTCCTGTATACCTACTGCTCTGCCTGGTTAAACTTTGTCAGCGGCGCGCAACAATTGGAACTGATTGAAAATTCCGAATCGGGGATCCACAGATCCAGGGGCTTGCATTACCAAGTGGCTTGACGAAAGCCAAAAACTGATTCGATATGACAACAGCAACAGTACAACAACACCAGTCCAAAGGCAGGTGCACTGGGAGAAAAAATAGAGGATTTTTTAGACACTTATTTTTAAGATAATATATTTGCCAAACATAGTTTTTTGATGAATTTTTGGCTTGGAATTTAGCTGGATTTTTATATAATATTTTTTATATTTATATCAAGTATTATCTTTTATAAGAGTTTTTTTAATTTTTTACATTACTTAGCTCATTAGCATTTAATTTCCTTACCTGATTTTTCTTGGTGTGCATCCAACTACCAGATTTCTCTCTTTTAGCCCGACTGACGTTCGAACGTGTGCCGTGAGAGTTGCTGCAGCAACAACAATAAGAGTAGCAACAAAATAACAACAATCACGGTAGCCAGTAGCCAGTAGCCAGCAGCCACTTGGCCACATTCGCCGACGATCTGCACATGTTTTATTGATGAACTTCTGTTATTCATGCAGCCGATCTGCAGTTGGTCGAGTCGGTTCGCCACAGAGGAGGCTTTGGAGATGCCGAAATTGTGCACACAATGAGCGGGGAAACAGTGGGTTAAGAGGGTTAAAAATAAGGGGGAAATATATTTTAAATAATTTAGAAAAGAAATCCTAGTCCAAAAATATTTTTTAAATAATTAAGAAAAGAAATCCTAGTCCAAAAAGCTGCCTTTAAAATCATTATTGGGCCTAATTTTGGGTAAAATATTTGGGGGAAATTCCCTATTTAATTATATGTTTATTTATATTTTTTAGGGCTAAAAGAGAGATTTTTTTATCACTATCTCGGGATTTTAAAATCATTTTAAAAGGTACCCAAAAAAGGATACATAATTTAGAAAGGCAACAAAACTCAAATTTACACTTAATTTGTAGTCAAATTTTATTGCATACTTTTAGATGCATTTTTAAATGGGTTTAAACCTCCTAGTGATTTCTAGATTACTCTAGTATATAATATTTTCTGTCAAGTTCCTTATATAAACACCCACTGTGGCCTAGATCGCTGGGATTTGCAATTACCTGGTGCAGGTGATGAGATGAGGGCTTAGTCGCAGTCATCTCCTCCATCTCGTCTCGGTTGGAGTGATGCCCTCTCTTTCTGTAGAGACCTCCTTTTTTTATTTATGATTTGCGAGGACACTCGCATTGTCTCCGGAATCGAAATGCATCGAAAACGAAACAAAATGAATCGCATTTCGAGCCTGGCCTTTTTCCTTTTAGCCCAGTTTGTTGTTGGCATGCACTTCGTGTGTGTTCCATAATTAAGTGAATTTAAAGCTCACTTCGGCGGTGGTCGGTTGTTTCTGTTGTTTTTATTGTTCCAAGTCCTTGTATTTGTTGGCACTCTTGAGAAGGTATTCGTGTTGCTGGTTCAGCGACATGTTCCACGTTTTTGTCACACATTTCCAACCGATCTTGAGTGGTTCTTATTTTTATATAACGTTAATGTTATTTTTGTGCGTGCTTTTTGTGTGTTCCATTTGTTGAATATCATTTTTTGATTCCACATCTGGTGCGTATGCGTAATGACGTGAATTATATTGACAGGCATGCAATTGGCATCGTTATCGCCGCGGCGGTCATTAAAAACGTTATCGCGTGACAAGCGGAATTGACTTTTTAATTTGGCTAAATATTTAGGGGGGCAATCGAAACAAAACAAAAAGTATTCTGGCCACCACAAAAAACACCCATCTGCGACGTAACAACATAAAACAAAAAAATAAATAGAGAACACAAAGAAAAAGAATAGATTGTGGGTAAGGGGGAAAAGCTCTCAGGCGAACAATCGAAAATTTGCCACTCTGGCATTTATCCACGTCATTGGCGTTTTCTTCGCTTTATTTCAATTTTCTATATTTGCCAGCGTTTTGTCCACCGCAGCAACGCCAAATAAACTAAGTGCCAACTCCAGCTCCACTCTATAACCCCCCTTTTTCCACCCCTTTTAGCCAGGCAACAAATAGAATTGACATTTTGTGGTGTCCAATATGCAAAAAACATAGAGCCAAAGAGTTTAACAGTGGTTCTGAGATTAGTAAGGTTACTTAAAAAATACATTTCAATTTATAATATTTTATTTATAGTTTATATAAAGTAAATAAATTATGCAAATTTTTTCCAAGATATTTTAGCAAAGTTATATAAAACATTTATATGCAAAAATATTTGTGGCTTTTAAAAATCTCCTTAAATTGTGAAATAATAAATCGTAGCAGATAATAAAATGTTGAAAGAAATTTACAAAAATTAAACAAATTAAAAAATCAAATTCCATTTCT